TCCTCGGCTGCCCTCCTGGGTATCCAGTCAGTGTTCAGCAGAAATGATAGTGAGGGGCAGACGTGGCCAGGTCAGTTCCCAGCTCCCCCTGCTGTTCTGGGGACACCTAGAGGGGGGCTTAGAAAGCAGAAATGGTGTGAGGGTGGGCAGAGGGAGGAGAGAGGATGCCTAATCTGGTGACAGGGACTGGGGTTCCTGCAGACCAGGGCTTGGCCACCAGTAGAGGCTGCTCAAGGACTTTCCATCAGCCCTGGCTGCCCACCAGCTCCCAATCCCAGATTCAGTGCACCCAAAGGCTTAGACCCTCCAGGAAGGAACAGTACTGGTGTTCACTGATTGCCTGCTCTGGCCACTGCTGCATTATCTCATGCATCCCTCCTCAGAGAGGCAGCAAAGCCTGGTGGTTGAGTGTGGCCTCCACAGCCCCACTTTCTGGGCTCAAATCCTGTCTCTGCCACTCTAACTCTGAGAGTTTGATCAAGTTACTGAATCTCTCTGCCTCTGTTTCCCCTGATGCAAAATGGGGATAATAAGAGTTCCTACCTCATAGGGTTGTTCTCAAGATCAAGTGAGTAAATACATAAAGCACTCAGGGAATAAGTCCTCTGTAATTACAGATTAAAGTGCTAAATCTAAATGAAAAAATCACTCCACCTACAGCTGAGGAAGGTTAAGGACCTTGGTCACCTCCTTCCCCTTCATCTTGCCTCTCCTTTTTCCCTGATGTATTGCGGGAGGGGGGTGTGTGCGTGCGCGCGTGTGTGTGACTTCCTGTGTTACTGAGAACAGTGGGGTACAAGGCAGGTCAGGGCTTTCCTTAGGTAGTGCTTTCACACTTTTCGATGACAGCTCATTGTAAGAATGATGTTTTATAATATAATACACATACACAGAAGGGCAGGTTGCAGGGGAGTGAAGAGGGCAGAAAGGGTGGTTACTTCCCGCTCAGAGTGAGGGTCCGGTCCAGCAACCTCTTTTCTGAGGCTCCCTAGACATGTGTAGCCAAAGCAGGTGCCCCCATACCCCAGGCAGATGACCCACAGCCCTCTGCCCACCTCCGCAGGTCCCTGTGATGGGGAGAGACCGCAGGGAGTAGGGTACCGCAGGCTCTTTGAGTTTTCATCCATCCCTGGACATTCTCTTCCCTGTGTGGGAGGTCTGTTCACCCGCTAGCCGCCTGCTCCAGGGCATCTATCTCCTGGCCCAGCAGGGCTGACAGCTGGGTGGGTTGGCAGTGGGGAGCAGCCTGAGGGATGGCTTTCACTCTGCTTTCAGAATGCCTCCCCGGCAAGGACGCCTCCAGCCGGGGCATCGCTGGCCTGTGCATACCCAGCCCGGGTATCACCTTCCAGGTCATCGCCCGGCGGTTCATCGTCTGCCATGTCAGCCTCCATGACATCGTCTCCAGCGAGAGTATACCTTGTTAGAGCCACACCAGTGAGGGCCGTTCCTGTCGAGGCATCTCCTGCCAGGTCCACACCAGCTGCCAGGGCCGCCAGGGCCACCAGGGAGAGCCCAGGTAAAGGGGCTCCCGCAGGGAAGGCAAGAGGAACAGGGAAGCAGTCCAAGGGCGGAGGGGGGTGCAGTGGGGGGGAACCTCCAAGTTGCCACTCTCTGCTCCTCCTCTAGCTCTTGAATAACGATGACTGGGAAGGAGGGGGGATGGTCTGGGTGGGCAGTGGGGGACCTGGGGAGGAGGGGACAGAAAGGAACCATGACATGCAAACCCAAGGCAGTGGGAAATTGCAGCAAATGGGGTAGAGGATAAGAAACCAGGACCGACAAAGCAGATGTAACTTTGGAGGCTGCTCAGTCTGGGTCAAGGTGCAGATTTTGAGAGCCAGGGCTCCTGGTTAGAAACCAGGGTTCTTTCCTTGGGCTGCCTTGGGGGTCTTCCAGGGAAGCTGGGGTCTGCACTGGAGTACAGTCATGATCATGGGCTCATCTGTGGGTAGAGGGGCAAAGAGAGAGATTCTGATCAGGCAGGCATGCCCCACCCCCAACTTCCCAAGCTGGCTTATAGGAGTCAGCTAATAGGGAGACAGAGACGTCAAATGGTCCTCAGGGACTGGCTCTGCCCTTAGGGAAGCAGCCTTTCTGCCAATCCCAACTTTGCCCTCCTCCTGTCCTCCTGCCCCAGCACTGCAATATAAACAGGACTGGAGGAGCATCCCAGATTTGGGGCCCAGTCTTGCCCTTTGCAGGACCAGTGAGGCACTTTGGTGTGGAGACCTTTGGGATCGGACACATTTCATTTGAATCCCTACTCTGCCACTCACTAGCCAAGTAAGCTTGAGCAAGTTATTTAACATCCACGAACCTCAGTTTCCCCATCTATAAAATGGGCGTAATGATACCCAGCGCACACAGTTGCTGTCAGAATTAAATGAGATAACACACGCAAATGCCTAGCTGGCCCACAGTAGATGCTGAGTAAAAGGGAGCTTGGTTTCAGGCAGGGGCGGTGCCATATTCTGGGTGGAGTGGGCCTAACAGGGCCCTCCTGGGCCAGCTTTCTTTCCTTCTCCCTCATCCATTGTGCCAGACTCCCCTCCAACAGCCTCACCCTCCCCTACTTCTGGCCTGTTCCCAGGTATCCACTTGCCCAAGTTCACCAGGCAGAAGGGCCTGAAGCTGGTGCTGCTCATCGGATGTATCTTCCTCCTCATTGCCCTCGTGGTGTCACTCATCATTCTCTGTGAGTTTAACAGAGGGAGCAGGGCTGGGCTCTGGTCACTGCGGGGTGCAGTGGGGTTCAGGGATGGGGACACGCAGCAGGGAGAGGAGTGGGGAACACATACTCACCGGCTGCCATGTCCACAAAGGGACACTCCTGCAAATGGCCTTGGACCATGGCACCTCCAGGCCCCTTGGAGGTAGCTGGATCGAGAGGGTGGGAAGTCAGAGGAACCTGGCTTGGGTCCCATCTGTGTTACTTACTTGGGCGAGTAGTTAACCAGTCTGAGCTCAGTTTCTGTTTCTTCAAATGGGATTAAATTCATTCATTCAACTTATTATGTGCTCAGTAAAATTTCCTAAAGATTTCACTGGGTTATAAGGAATAAATGAGCTACTGGCATAATGCCTGGCACAAAATCCCACTCTAAAATAAAGTTAGTTATTTAAAAAACAAACATAAAAACATCGATTAGGAAAAGTCCCCAGGCATTTTTAGTCAATGGGATAAAGTGTTCAGGGGTCCAGGCTCCCTCAATTCCACGCCCTCCTTTGGGAGAGATACTCAAGACATGTCCCTGGACTCCCTGCCAGGGAGTCCACTCTGAGCCCAGCACAGTGGGAAATCTTAGGAGGGAGCAAAGGGGATCACACATCACACCACCCTGTCCTCAGGGAGAGTACAGTCTCCTGGGGGACGTAGGTGGAAATGATTTAGACCAAGTGGATTTGAGTGTGACCATCAGCAAGAGAGGACAGCTGTATGGGCTGGGGTGGCAGGGGACAGCTCATAAAGGCCATGGGGCCAGATGAGGACCTAGAAGATGGCGGGGGTGCATCTTGGGCAGGGCATCTGAGCAGGACGAGGAGCTGCAGGAAATGTAGGGGGCAGTTGGGCAAGTTGGCATGGGGAGAGGGAAGGGACCCACTTAACCAGAGAGAATATTCAATTGGGGACCTGAGGGCTATCGTTTGGTTGGGCGTGGCTGGGCCACATTGTAGAGAGCTTTAAATGCCAGGCTGCGGGGTAAGGATTCTGTTAAAGAGGCAGCAGGGGTGGCGAAGGGCAGGGCTGTTTGAGGGAGAGGATTGCGTGGGAAGAAGTTATGTGCTGGTTAAAAGTATGGCTTTTATGTTTCCTTTTCCGGTAAGTGGCCTGAGGTGACCTCTAAAAATGGTTCGCTCTTCACTTGACCCAGAAAACCCCACAAAGTCATGCAAGTCAAGAGGTTCAAATCTTCGTGTTCACTTTAAGAACACTTGTGAAACTGCCCAGGCCATTAAGGGTATGCATATCCGAAAAGCCACCAAGTACCTGAAGGATGTCACTTTAAAGAGGCAACGTGTGCCACTCCGTCGTTACAATGGTGGAGTTGGTAGGTGTGCCCAGGCCAAACGGTGGGGCTGGACGCAGGGTTGGTGGCCCAGAAGGAGTGTTGAATTTTCACTGCACATGCTCAAAAATGCAGAGAGTGATGCTGAGCTTAAGGGCTTAGATGTAGATTCTCTGGTCATTGAGCACATCCAGGTGAACAAAACCCCCAAGGTGCGGCTCAGAACTTACAGAGCTCGTGGTCGGATCAACCCATACGTGAGCTCTCCCTGCCACATTGAGATGATCCTTAGAAAAAGAACAGATTGTTCCTAAACCAGAAGGGGAGGTTGCCCAGAAGAAGAAGATATCTCAGAAGAAACTGAAGAAACAAAAACGTATGGCCTGGGAATAAATGCCGCAAAAAATAAATACAAATAAAAGTAAAACAAACAAACAAACAAGGAGTATGGCTTTGGGACCAGACAGACCTGCCGAAGCATCTCGGCTCTGCCACTTACCAGCTGTGTGGCTTCATCAAGTTAATTAACTTCCCGAGCCTCAGTTTCCCCTCCTGCCTGACAATGCACGTGAAGGCATCAACACGGAACCTGCCGCCACGTGGCAGGCATGTGAACCTCCCGCTGGGGTGCCCCACCCGGCTGCCTCCCTTCCCCACGTGGGACATCTGCTCCAGTAGGAAATAACCCATGGAGGGGGGAGACGGCAACTGAGGGCAGGTGCTCAGCATGATTTCACAGCATTCCCTGAAGCCCCCTGACCTCCGGATTTCCCAGGGAAGTGGTCACTGAGCAGCTGTGCAGTGGGGTCAGGACTAGAGCCTCCGCCCCCTGAGAGCTCTCTCTGCTACACATCCAAGTGATCCCAGGAGCCTCAGTGCCCAGGACGTGGGAGAGGGAAGGACCAGGGCACAGAGAGGAGGGGGAAGTCCAAGAGGTTAGGAGGGATTGGTGTCTGGTCTTGGAAGGAGCAGTCACACAAGGCTGACCTGCACCCGGGGTGACGGAGAGCATAGTGGGACCAGTGGGATATGTGAGGGCTGAGGAACAGGTTGCAGACAAGAGGCAGGGTGAGGAGTCAGAACCGGGGTTTCTTAGGCATCCAAGGGGAGGTGTTTCCGGGCAGGAGGGATGACGGTTCCTAGTTTGGAAAGAGATGGGTCTTAGAAGAAGTCATGAAGCTGATTTTCACATATGGTTTGTAAAGCTGTCGGCTTTTCAGCCCAACTTGTACATTTAGGAATCAGCCACCTAGAGTTGCTCGCGGAGTGGGAAGACATTTGAAGGCATCAAGACAAGTAATGGGGCAAGAACTGAGGCAAGAGGACATCCCTTGTTTAGAGAAGAGGGAGCAGGAAGAAAATCCAGGAGCTTCTGAGGCTGGGAGGACAGCCTTTGCGAAGACAGGACAGGTAGTGGTTGCAAGTGTATGACTGAAGATGGAAATGTCTCTGCTACAGCCCACAGGGCACAGAGGTGGAGGGATGCCAGAGTGGCTCTGAGAAGGGGCCTCTGGGATGGTGGAGGAAGGGCTTTCTCTGACCACCACTCTGGCCGGCACGTAGGGCAGGGGAGCTCCCAGAGTAGTAACCGTCTCCCTCCCACACCTCCCTCCCTCCCTCCCTCCCTCTCTGGGTGGCCGCTCTTGAGTGCTGCCCTGCTTGCAGAAGCTTTCTGGAGCATTCCAGAGCATTCCTGAGCAGCCTTTCTCTCCATACAGATGGGGGACGAGAGACCCAGAGTCCAGGAGGGATTGCAGATCAGTGTCTCGGAACACCCAGGGCCTTGGGCCGCTTAGTGTCATGTCTCTCTGGGGCTGGCAGTGACCTGGCTTCTGCTTCATTTTTTTCAGTCTACTTCTGGCAGGGCCACATAGGCATCAAGTACAAGGAGCCCGTAGAGAGCTGCCCCAAGCATGCTGTGCGCTGTGATGGGGTCGTGGACTGTAAACTGAAGAGCGACGAGCTGGGCTGTGGTAAGGAGGCCGGATGTGCGTGTGTGTGTGTGTGTGTGTGTGTGTGTGCGTGTGTGTGCGTGTGCGTGCGCACGCGCACGCGTGAGCGCATGCACACCTGCGCACGTGCACTCTGGGGACTGCAAACTGGGTATCAGCTCAAATGGGAGGCAATGGAGAGAGACTCAGAGGGTTCTAGTTACAGCAGGCTGGGGTTTGGAACCTGGCTTTGAGTGCTGTGTGACTTGGGTTAATCACTTACCTTCTCTGGTCTTCAGTTTCCTAACTTGGAAAATGAGTGGATTGGACAAGATTAGTGGTTCTCGGATACAATCTGACAGCTCGCAGCTACCAGACTGAGCAAAGCAGGGCTGCTCTGGCTGGAGGCAGGTGTGGGGTCCAGAGCTCTGTCCATGTGCCCAGCAGGTGACCTCTGACCTGCCACCCCTATGGTTCCATGAAGGTCAGTTTGTAAATGAAGGCTTTTATGAGCACAAAGATCTCTTTGAGCGCTGGTCCTCAGTGGTTTTTACTTGTGTTGTCCATGTACAGCCCTAATGTGGGTGTCTGTGGGTGCACATCTGGCCCTTTCCACCTGTGTGTTCATGTGTGTCCTTGCCCATGACCACATCCATCTGTGACTGAGCCTGTCTAGCGAGCACTCAGTTGGATCATCACTCCCCTTGTCCCTCTCTTATTTGGGCACATCACTGCCCTCTTGGGGTGATAGCTCCTGGCAGTGCACACCCCTTCTCCCAGTGACGGCTGTGGGTCCCGTCGGATGGAGAGCTCTTTCTGCCCCGCCCCAGCCCCTTACCTTGGCTCTGCCCTTACTGAGCATCTTGGGCTCTGAGCACTGGCTGATGACCATCCCATCCCGGGCCAAGCTCCCGGCTGTTTGCAAGGCCTCAGTGAGAAGCCTTAGGACAGGAGCATCTCAGAGCCTTACTCAGTTCATTCCTCAAGAACTTGGAGCTTCCCGGTGCTGAGGACCTGCCTTGACCTTTTTTTGCCCTGCAGTGAGGTTTGACTGGGACAAGTCTCTGCTTAAAATCTACTCTGGATCCTCCCATAAGTGGCTTCCCATCTGCAGTGACAGCTGGAATGATTTCTACTCGAAGAAGACCTGCCAGCAGCTGGGTTTCAAGAGGTAAACCTCCCCCATGAGTCCCAGCTTCAGGGGTGTCAGACTCTTCACCAAGGGCATCTCAGGATCATTGATGGAAACACATATTAAAAAGACTCTTGGGGACCAGGGCTGAGGTCACTAGCTCATAGCACACTTGAATTATTCAAAGAGACAGTGGCCTGAGGAGCCCAAGTCTGGGGACAAGCTGTTTCCAGGAGGCCAAAGTAGTTATTTGCAGATCTGCAGCAGGATGATGTTCCTGTATGGTTTTTTGCATCAAAGCGCCCTCGTGCCCACGCTCGCATTCAGTGGTCGCGGAGGCCCTGTGAGGTGGGTAGGCATTTGGGCAGGTCTCGTCTTCTCCTCACACCTGGGAACCAGCAACTCAGGCTGTGCAAACCCTTCAGTGGACTTTGAGGAAAAGCAGCTGCGGCTTGGGCTAGAATGCATCAAACAAGGAACGAGATGGGCAGACGTGGCTAGGTAAAGTCATTAGCATCTTTGGCTCTACAGATCTGAAACAAGAAGCTGGTACCAGTGGGTGGAGTAGGGAGTGGGGTTTACCGTGACCTTCCCCCTCGAAGGAGCCCCCGGTTGGCAGGCCACATAGTCACCTCCATCCTCCCTCTTGGTCTGGGTTCCAAACCAAGTAGTTCGGGGGTTCACCAACGTGCGTGAAGTTGTAACGAGAAAGGTTTATTTAGGATCTCACTGTGGAAACCACCTAGAACACCAGGGCTTGGGGACGAGGACTTAGAACCAGTTCTCTGCCCCTACCTCAGCCTCAGAGTCCCCATCTGTGAAAGACGACCTGGGTGATCTAGTTGGAAGACAACGGACATCGTTTATCATTGAGTTGTGTGACCTTCTGCAAATGCGAACTTCCCTTGGGCTTCAATAGATAGTGTCATTTATTCAAAGAACATTCATCGAGCTTTTATTATGTCTAAGCCATTCACCCAGACAAGATCCCTGCCCTTGGACAATCTCTGGTATGGTGTGGGCGAGAGAGGCTTCAACCAATAATCACAGCACCGTGTGATGTGTAGTGGAAAGAACACGTGGGAAGCATTATGCACACACACCGGAGAGGGTGCCTGACTGTGCCTGGATGTCAGCAGAGCATGGACGAGGCCCCTGGGTAGAGGGACAGTGCCCGCAAAGGCATGCTGTAATGCAAGGGTGTCCCGTGTTCTAGAAACACACCGAAGGGCCACGCAGATAGCAGTCCATGGATCACCCACAGCAGAATCACCTGGGGTGCTTGTTAAAATGCACCCTGAAATCAGAATCTCTGGGATTAGGATTTCAAACCTGCTTAACAGCACCCGGGGGTGATACTTAGGCACGCTGTGGTCTAAAAGCCAAATGGTTCTCAGGCTTTAATGTGCAAACCCATAATATGAGGATCTTTAAAATGCAGAGTCTGGCTCAGCGGGTCTGGGGTGATACTGCTGCTGTCAGTCCATGGGTCACAGTCTGGATAGAAAAGGGCTAGGTCAGTGTTTCTCAAACTTGAGAGCGCATCAGAATCACCTGGAGAGCTTGTTAAAACGGAAAACCAGAATTCTTGATTTGGTAGGTCTGGAACAGGGCCCAAGAATTTGCATTTCTAACAACTTCCCAGGCAGTGCTAACATTGTCCCCTGGGATTGGACCACACTTTGAAAACTACCGGGTTAGAGCGTAGGGCTAGTAGGGGGCAGTGGTGGAATATGTGGGTGGGGTCTGAGATTGTTGGGTTTTAACTGCCTCTGGCCTCTGCAGCAGGGCTCGCTTGGGACCTTCATGCTGGCTGGGGAACCATGGGTGTGCGCTGCCTCAAGGAGGTTCATTCTTTTTCCCTCTCTTCCCTTGCAGTGCTTACCAGACAGCCAAGGTGACCAACAGGAATTTTGACAGCAGTTTCTCAGTCTCCAAATATAGCTCCACCTTCCAGGAGAGCGTCTACAGGTGTGTGAGGCGGGCCAGGCTGTCAGCTGTGAGCAGGGGAGTGAAGGAGTGCTCCGAGTCAGGGAGCCCCTCTCCCTCGGCCTTTCTGGGACCCCACCTCCAGGAGTCCCTCGTGAATGTCAAGAGCATCTCAGAAACAGCTCTCATTCACTACCTGCCTCCTGACTTGAAAGCAGTCGAAGCTGGGTGCACAGAGCACCTCAAGGTCAGAGGGGCCCCCAAGAGTTTACCTGGTTGCCAGAGACAGTGAATAAACCTCGGGGCCACTGGTCAGCCTGATGTTTGGACTGAAAGCTGCTGCAGGGAGGGGGCTTGGGGTGGAAAGGGGGAAACATCACCGGGGTGGCGAATGGGGCGGGGGAGCTTCAGCAGGGGGAGTGCCAGGTGCAGGTAGTCAGGGGCAGGGAGGCCCATCTGAGGAGCGTCGCCATCCCCCTGGGGGGGGATGTCATCTTTGCACTGCAGCTGCTCTTTCCCACCACCACTGGGTGAAGGGGAGGAGTGGGGAGGGTGGCCCACCAGCTATAGCAGTGTTTACCTTGGGGAGGGGAGGGAAGAAACCAGGCTGTGGGAGAAGTAGGCATGGGGAGAGAAGGGAGGCAATGAGCTCCCTCCTGGATGTCTGCTTTGTGCTGGGTGGTTCGCATGCTACGTTGCCGGCTGGACATTGAGCAACTGTCAGAGGAATGTTGGGTCACCTGTTTAGCTGGGGAAAGATGCTGGGACAGTGAAGTCATGAGTTCAAAGGCCATGGACCTGCCAATATGTGCAATCTGCCGCAGAAGAGCGGACGTTGGGGGAAGACTGGGCATGGTTTGCACTAAGCCATCCCCGTTCCTGCAGAAGAGGCACTGGAAGGGTCCGTCCCACTGGGAGGGAGAAGGGTCAGAATCTCCACCTTCAAGTGGGGTTTATCCCAGGAATGCAAGGATTCTTCAATATACGCAAATCAATCGATGTGATACACCGTATTAACAAACTGAAGGAGAAAAACCATATGATCATCTCAATAGATGCAGAAAAAGCTTTTGACAAAATTCAACACCCATTTATGAGAAAAACTCTCCAGAAAGTAGTCATAGAGGGAACTTACCTCAACATAATAGAGGCCATATATGACAAACCCACAGCCAACGTCATTCTCAATGGTGGAAAACCTGAAACCATTTCCTCTAAAATCAGGAACAAGACAAGGATGCCCACTCTCACCATTATTATTCAACATAGTCTTGGAAGTTTTACCCACAGCAACAGAGAAGAAAAAGAAATAAAAGGAATCCGAATCAGAAAAGAAGAAGTAAAGCTGTCACTGTTTGCAGATGACATGATACTATACATAGAGAATCCTAAAGGTGCTACCAGAAAACCACTAGAGCTAATCAATGAATTTGGTAAAGTAGCAGGATACAAAATTAATGCACAGAAATCTCTGGCATTCCTATACACTAATGATGAAAAATCTGAAAGAGAAATTAAGGAAACACTCCCATTTACCACTGCAACAAAAGAATAAAATACCTAGGAATAAACCTACCTAAGAGGACAAAAGACCTGTATGCAGAAAACTATAAGACACTGATGAAAGAAATTAAAGATGATACAAACAGATGGAGAGATATACCATGTTCTTGGATTGGAAGAATCAACATTGTGAAAATGACTCTACTACCCAAAGCAATCTACAGATTCAATGCAATCCCTATCAAACTACCACTGGCTTTTTTTCACAGAACTAGAACGAAAAAATTTCACAATTTGTATGGAAACACAGAAGACCCCGAATAGCCAAAGCAATCTTGAGAAAGAAAAATGGAGCTGGAGGAATCAGGCTCCCAGACTTCAGACTATACTACAAAGCTACAGTAATCAAGACAATATGGTACTGGCACAAAAACAGAAATATACCTCAATGGAACAGGATAGAAAGCCCAGAGATAAACCCACGCACATATGGTCACCTTATCTTTGATAAAGGAGGCAAGAATATACAATGGAGAAAAGACAACCTTTTCAATAAGTGGTGCTGGGAAAACTGGACAGCTACATGTAAAAGAATGAAATTAGAACACTTCCTAACACTGTACACAAAAATAAACTCAAAATGGATTAAAGACCCAAATGTAAGGCCAGACACCATAAAACTCTTAGAGGAAAACATAAGCAGAACACTCTATGACATAAATCACAGCAAGATCCTTTTTGACCCAGCTCCTGGAGAAATGGAAATAAAAACAAAAAGAAACAAATGTGACCTAATGAAACAAAAGCTTTTGCATAGCAAAAGAAACCATAAACAAGACGAAAAGACAACCCTCAGATGGGAGAAAATAGCTGCAAATGAAGGAACTGACAAAGGATTAATCTCCAAAATATACAAGCAGCTCATGCAGCTCAATATCAAAAAAACAAACAACCCAATCCAAAAATGGGATCTAAATAGACATTTCTCCAAAGAAGATACACAGATGGCCAACAAACACATGAAAAGACGCTCAACATCACTAATCATTAGAGAAATGCAAATCAAGCCTACAATGAGGTATCACCTCACACTGGTCAGAATGGCCATCATCAAAAAATCTACAAACAATAAATGCTGGAGAGGGTGTGGAGAAAAGGGAACCCTCTTGCACTGTTGGTGGGAAGGTAAATTGATATAGCCAGTATGGAGAACAGTATGGAGGTTCCTTAAAAAACTAAAAATAGAACTACCATACGACCCAGCAATCCCACTACTGGGCATATACCCTGAGAAAACCATAATTCAAAAAGAGTCATGTACCACAATGTTCATTGCAGCTCTATTTACAATAGCCAGGACATGGAAGCAACCTAAGTGTCCATCGACAGATGAATGGATAAAGAAGATGTGGCACATATATACAATGGAATATTACTCAGCCATAAAAAGAAACGAAATTGAGTTATTTGTAGTGAGGTGGATGGACCTAGAGTCTGTCATACAGAGTGAAGTAAGTCAGAAAGCGAAAAACAAATACCATATGCTAACACATATATACAGAATCTAAAAAAAAAAAAAGGTTCTCATGAACCTAAGGGAGGACAGGAATAAAGACACAGACATAGAGAATGGACTTGAGGACATGGGAAGGGGGAAGGGAAAGCTGGGACGAAGTGAGAGAGTAGCATTGACATGTATACACTACCAAATGTAAAATAGATAGCTAGTGGGGGGCAGCTGCATCGCATGGGGAGATCAGCTCGATGCTTTGTGACCATCTAGTGGGGTGGGATAGAGAGTGTGGGAGGGAGACGCAAGAGGGAGGGGATGGGGGATATCTGTATACATATAGCTGATTCACTTTGTTATACAGCAGAAACGAACACAACATTGTAAAGCAATTATACTCCAGTAAAGATGTTACAAAAAAAAAAAAAAGAAAGAAAGAAAAGAAACTCCATATTCTTGTGCAGAGGGGATGGGATGAGACTTAGCAGGAGCCAATCACGGAAGGCTTCCTGGAGGAGCCAGCTAATGTGCCCTTTTCTCATCTTTGTGTTTCCTCCTGCAGGTCTGAATGCCCTTCCCAGCAGTACGTGACTCTCCAGTGTCCCGGTAAGAAGATGCCCTTTCTCCTGGATAGTGGCCTGTGTGGGGTGGGAGTCAGTGGGCAGAGCGGTAGGGTCCCTATGAGGGAGAGGGCCAGCCCTGGGTGTCCAAGCCAGGAAGAGGGGCTGAAGCAGCAGGCCTGCTTCAGGGCCAGGGTCCCTGTAAGGCACCTGGATGGACATTCTCAGGGTAGCATTTCCCCTTCTCCTGACTCTGCTTAGCCCAGCAACCTCACCATTCAAGTCTCCTGGGTTCTGGGCAGAGGGCAGAGGACTGGGAGAGCACGTCAGGGCCAGCTTAAAGCTCTGCTATCAATAGACGTGGAGCTGGATCCAGTGCCAACATTTACGGAGCACACTGGATGCCAAGCCACTGCGCCTATGGCTTTACAAACGTGATTACATTTAATTCTCACGAGGTAGGTGCCATTATTGCCCGCTTACTGAAAAGAGACTGAAAATTTTGCCTTACTTAAGGTCAGACCACTGGTAGGTAAGGAGCTGGTATTGGACCTTGGCTCTGACCCCAAAGCCCAAACTGTTAACTGGTCCATGAGTGCTGTGTTCTCATGATGACCAGGTGGGGTGCTCCCCTGAGCAGGCGGGCACGGGGCTGTGGATGGAGCCCCCTCAGACCACCGCTGGCTCTTCACTCTCTCCTTCAAAGAAAGAACACACATGTGAACAAACTCTGTCCGTGATTTGGGGGGAGGACTCACTCCAGAACGTGTTTGGAAATGTTCGCTTGGGGTGCAGGGTCCCCAACAGCATGAAATGACCCATTGAGGAAACATGTGGGCACCACCTACCTGTGCATCATGGGAAGGGCTTTTCTCCTTTGTTTTGAAACGATCTCCCTCACAGTGCTTACCAATTCAGGGTCATGTTAGACTTGGTCTGCTTCCGCGAGGTCCCGACAGCAGCGCTGGGATTCACCGTTGTGATCCTAATGCCTGGCACAGTGCCCAAAGCATGAGGTATTTAGGAAGCATTTATCAAATTATGGAAGAATGGAAGAATGAATGAGTGGGAGGAAAGAGGATCTTTCCTAGGACCAAACTACCCACTGGATGATCCCAGAAAGCTAACCCACCCTGTGGGAGCTCTGTGTTGGCAGGAAGCAGCTGCGCTGCATCAGATTAAGTGAGCAAAGCGGCCTCCATGGGTGGGTGGTACCCTCAGGATGCGGCTGCCTGAGGTTCCCTGGGCCTGGGAGCATGGTTGCAGCTCTGAGCAAAGCTGAGTTCATACTAGCTCATCTCTTCTACTACTCCCCAGACTGTGGACTGAGGGCCCTGACCGGGCGGATCGTGGGAGGGGCGCTGGCCCCAGAGAGCAAGTGGCCTTGGCAAGTTAGTCTGCAGTATGACCGCACCCACATTTGTGGGGGCACGCTGATCGACGCCCAGTGGGTGCTCACCGCCGCCCACTGCTTCTTCATGTAAGTGCCCAAGGGGCAGTCATGCGACACCGCTGAGGGTCGGGGACACCAGCAAGGGCTGAGGGCAGGCTGACTTCTCTCTGTGGACGAGGGCTTTGTTTGTAAGCCTGGCCCCTGCGGGCTGGGCAGCTCGTGTGTGGTGAGGACCATGGTTTGCCATTGGTATTTGGTCCTGGGACTGTGAGTTGGGATTACTTGTTCTGAGCCAGTACAGAGTGAGAAAATACTATTGGTGGCTCCAAGGGAGAGAGAGAGAGGCAGGTAGAAGGAAGGAATTGTGAGCCTGCCCTAAAGAACAGGGTGAAATGAAGAGGGTTGGGGCTTGTTGCTGCTTCCAGAAACTGGAAGTTAGAGGGGAGGAGCCCAAGACATCAGGAATGCTGTCCCAGGAATTGAGGGATGGGGACTGTGGGAAGGGCAGTGCAGTCAGCTTCTGACAGTCACCAGCCAGGCCTGTCCTTTGAGCTGGTGGACAGGAAAGGGCTCGGAGATGAGGCCTCAGGGGCACTGGCTTCCCCAGCAGTGAGGCTTCAGTGGGTCACTTTGTCCCGTCGAAAGCTCCGTTTCTGCTGAGGATACTACCACTGAGATGTGTCCCACCCACCTTATTTGATCCTTGGTGGTGTCCAGAGGAGACAGTGGGGCCAGTGGTCTCAGAAGTCTTACTCATCCCCTCCCGTTTTCTATTGTAAGGTACAGAACCGCCAGTTCAGAGCGGTTTTTTGGAAGTAGGGGATTGTCCTAGATCCCTGGGCTAAGATAGAGAGCTCCCTCCAGAGGTCATTTCATCCATTCTCCTGCCTCCAGTGGTGCTCTGGCTGCAGCTCCCTGTGTGCAGCAGATGCTGCCAGAGGGCTCTGCCATGTGGTAACTGGCCCATGCTCTCTGTGGCTCTAGCAGGACCCCGGATAAGATCCTGGAGGGCTGGAAGGTGTACGTGGGCACCAACAACCTGCACCAGCTGCCCGAGGGAGCCTCCATTGCCCAGATCATTATCAACAGCAACTACACGGACGACCAGGACGACTATGACATCGCCCTCATGAGGCTCTCCAAGCCCCTGACTCTGACCGGTGAGTGAATCCATGCCTGTCACACCCCACACTGCTCATCTAGCAGCCCTGGGGCCCAGCCTTTACACTTAGCAGCATCCACTGACCCATCCCAGGGCCCAGAGCTTCAGCATGGTGGACGTCAAAGATTTTTAGAGATCATTTAGTGGAATACCTCTGTCTTACAGTTAGGGGAACTGACACCCAGAGGTTGGAACCCAACTTGCCCCAGTGACACATCTGACATTGCAAATTGGTGACAGAGCCAGGGTTTGGATACTGGCCTTCATCAAGATAAACAGATCGAATTGTTTCACTGGTACATCGAGCACTTAACAGAGACCAGACACTGTGGTAGGCATTTTACGTCTACAATTTCACTTACTCTTCACAACCCATCCTGTGGAGCAGGTATTATTATTAACTTCATTTTACATTTGAGAAGAGGAGCTTTAGAGAGAGAGAATTCCCCGAGGCCATGCAGTAATGAGTGGCAGCTCCAAGACTGGGTCCAGTTGGGTCTGGCTCCTAAGCAATGCTCTTCCCATGCCGCTCTCTGCTGGCAAATTGCCAACACCAAAGTTGAGAACACAAGAGAAGTACCTACACATCCAAACATCTAACTGCCGTGAGAGCTGAGGGTGGAGCTGAGGACCAAATGGGGCTACAGGAAGGAAATGCTACTGAAGTTCTCAGGAGATCAGAGTTTATCTTCATTCCTTCATCCACCCATTTGTTCACGCATCAAATACTGTGTGTCTACTACATAGCAGCTCTGCAGTTCCACTGCAAAGAGAACAAAACGGATGACACACACAAACAGCCACTTAGAAGCTAGTGATGTGATGTCGGCGGCACCCCGGGGAGCCGTGGTGGCACAGATTCAGGCACCTAATCGGTCTTGGCAGGCTACAGAGGCATCTGGAAGTCTTGGAGGGCTCTCTGCTTAGTCCAGCCTTTCTGGTGCTCTGGGCCTGTGAGCGGGCCTTTGCCGGCACATGAATTACGGAGGCGGTGTTGGTCCTGAGTCACAGCCGTTAGCTCATCACAGCGGTGTGCGGAGAACGCCAACCCCAACGCAGGACTGGGTTCGGCGGAGCTGGCCCAGAGCCGAGCCCAGCAGAAGCCAAGCCCACCACCCGCCAGGCGCGAGCCCTCTCAGCCCTTCTCCTACCCCTCCTAGCCTCGTCTGTGGAGCCTGGGGCGGTGAGATGGGGGTGCCGTGCTGCCCCTGCCCTGCCCCTCACGCACACATAAATGCGGGCAGGCAGTCTGAAGGATCAGAACAGGCCTTCCCAACCTTGTAAAACCCAGACTTCATTTGGCTAACTGTCCAGATCTTTCCTGCCGTCACCCCCAACCCCCTGAATATTATTTGGAATTCCAAATAGAATTAATTTGTAAAACTAAATTAAAGCTATTATAGCACTACCTATGCTTTTCAGACTGCAGCAGTCCCTCTCTAGACTCTGATAGCTGCTCCAACCCCCTCCCACTCTCCTGGGAAGGAAGAATATCTCTAGGCTGAGACAGTCACAGCTTAGATTTATGTAGTCCTGTGGTCAGACCATGTGCACTGATTTTGGGTTTAGAGATCAGGGCAGAGTTTCTTAAACTGTCTGGTAGGCTGAGCACTTCGAAGTCACAGTACTAGCTGAGGAAACTTGTGGAGGATCACTGATAAATTTAATTACCCCATAAAAAGAGTAGGATATATAATAGTGTTACATGTTTTTAAGACTGCATGTCTCTAAAATGGGCACACACTATTTTAAGAAGTCATGTTTTGTGTTTTTGCTTAATAATTGATGCCATCCCTTCATTTATTTTTTGTTTACCCTCTAGCAGAGAAATGTGTTCGACTCCCAATTTACAGGAGAAAAATTTTACATTCATTCTCCCTCCCTCTGTCTTTCTCCTCCCTCCATCCCTCCCTCCCCCGACCCACATGAATGCAAGCCCCATGAAGGAATGATTTCCAGGCCCTCAAGAAAATGGTCTTTTTCTTCCTTCCTTCCTTCCTTCCTTCCTTCCTTCCTTCCTTCCTTCCTTCCTTCCTTCCTCCCTCCCTTCCTTCCTCCCCTCCCTCCCTCCCTTCCTTCCTTCTTTCCTTCCTTCCTTCCTATGAGCACTTTCTATGTGTCAGGCACTGTTTTAGGCACAGGAAGCTGCAGTGAGCATAACAATCGTGAACACTGCAAACATTCTATCACCTCTTTTCTTCTTGCAAATTGGTCGATGCTCTAGTCCACACGGGAACACTGGTCCTCAGAGGGAGCTTATGAACTGATGCACAACAGCACCTTCTATATGATTCTGAGTGTGGGAGCAAGGGAGCAGCAGTTTTGTGGCCTGTGCCTCTAGGGATGCGCTCTCCCCACTTGGAGAGGTTGTATCACCCTGGAGAGAAAGGCTCAGGCCCTGGCCAACCAGGGGTGCCCTCCCCAGACCAGGCAGGACACACCCCTGAGACGTCATGGCAGTAATACCTGGGATTTAGCCTGCACTGCTCCTTGCTCTTAGGGACAGGCATGGAAGAGGCTCAGCCAGGACAGCCACTCTTGAAGAAAGAGACCCTCAGCCACCCAGTACCAGCTTGGCACAGGGGAGCTTCCAAGACATATGCATCTGCCCACATGTCACCCACGGAAAAATCTGAATGTCTGGGGGACTCTGACGGCACCCTGAAGGCTGGAGGGTCAAGATAAAGTGACTGAGTTTCTTGCCTGGTCCGTTCAGGGCCCTGAAAGATTCAGAAGTACTCTGGGGGGAAGGAGGAGGTCCTGGGACATTGGTACTTCTGTCCCTCCACACACACCCCCCGCCAAAACCTCCAGCCTTGTCCCTTCACTGATGTCTTGAGGTCTTGTCACAGCACATGTCCACCCTGCCTGCCTCCCCATGCATGGACAGAACTTCAGCCTCAATGAGACCTGCTGGGTCACAGGCTTCGGCAAGACCAAGGAGACAGATGGTGAGAGGCAGATGCTAGAGTGTGTGTGTGTGTGTGTGTGTACATATGTGTCTGTGTAGAGTGTGTGGGGGTGATATGTCAGGGTATAGAGATGAGGGTCTACCTAGATGAGGGTTTGGATATATAGATTCGTGGGGCTTGGTGTGAATGTGTGTGTATATACACCTGCATATACATCAAAGCAGTTGCTGTGACAATGCCCCAGCCAAGAACACAAGGAAAACCCCTGTCTTTGAAAGACCTGGGTTCATCGCTCGTTGAACCGAGGGAGAACTCACACCAGGGAGAACCGTGGGGCGTCTCGACAAGAGGCTGTCAGAAAGGACTTACAGGATTCGGGTGCTTTGAAGGGGGTTCAAAGAGGTGAAGTCTTTCTCTAGATTGGTTGCTTGTAGGAAGCAGGGATGATCCTGTGAGTGGATATCTTAATAATCTCATTTGGAAAGAGTTAAGAGACTGAGTCTAAAGATGTAGTTGGTGAAGAGGCAGCAGCTGCTCATCCTGGCTGGGACAGGGGGCTGTTTGGTCCTTTCGTGGGTTGACCTACCTTGTGTTTTGTCTGTGCTGAAACAAGGCTAGGAAGCGGTTTGGTTTTCCCTCACTTCATCATGATCACAGGGTGGCCGTGTCTGGTGTCCGGTCTGTGAGATTATGTATACTGGGCAGGAAGGCACAGCAGTCAGCTGGCCTTGCCATGAGAGTCGTGAGCTTGTGTCCGCCGCAGGTGCCAGGGCCTGCTCGTGGGATGGAGCGGTGGCTGGCCAGGAGCCGCCTCGTTTTGATCTTGGCCTGTGACTGACTCGCTGGGTGACCGTGGGCAAGTCCTTTCTCAGCCCTAAATGTCTCCTTCTGTAAATGGATTCATCACACCTGCTCTCCTCAGAGCACGTGGTTACCAGAAACAAATGACCTATTTGACGTTGCTTTGGATACAGAAAGGCATTGTGCAGCATGTAAGGCAGCCCGAAAGGCCTGTGAGTTTGTCTGTGTACGTGCGTCTCTGTTACGTGTAGTGAGTTGTGTCTGGTGTGAGGGTGTATGCGCCCATACATCCTGGGTGGCCTACCATGGGGATGGTGCCCTCCATGCCCGGGAGGCTGCCAGTCTGGGGTGTGGGGTGGGCAGCTGGAAGGCCACAAAGCCGCCCGGAGTCTCACTCCCTTCCCTTCTCCTCTCTCCTCTACTGCACTGAAGAGAAGACATCCCCCTTCCTCCGGGAGGTGCAGGTCAACCTCATCGACTACAAGAAGTGTAACAGCTACTTGGTCTACAACAGCTACCTCACCCCGAGGATGATGTGTGCGGGGGACCTGCAGGGAGGGAGAGATTCCTGCCAGGTGAGGCTGCTCCCACATGGGGCTCAGGCCCTGGGACCCCAAGGGAAGGGAGGAAGGCTGAGGTTTTGGGGTCGGAGGGTCAGGTGCCCACCGTTTCCTGCCCAAGGACCACCTCTCTCACCCTGCTGATGCGCGTGCACTCCCCTGTAGGGAGACAGCGGGGGGCCCCTGGTCTGCGAGCAGGACCACCGCTGGTACCTGGCAGGAATCACCAGCTGGGGCATTGGCTGTGGCCAGAGAAACAAACCCGGCGTGTACACCAAAGTGACGGAAGTCCTCCACTGGATATACAGCAAGATGGAGGTGAGAGCCCTGCGGGGTGTTTGTACCCAGCAGGCGGGGACTCCCAAAGGTGGGGTGCCTGGAAGAGGGCCTAGCCTTTCCCCAGGGTCTCGGCGAGGTCCCCTTGCTCCCTCGCCTTTGGGGGTGTTCACAATGTGGAAATGACCAGGACAGGACAGGAGCCAAACGCTGCCCCAGCTGCCTGTGCTCCTTCCGCCCCTTTTCCTCCTGCAAAACAGAGCTCAGAGGGTTGGAAAGTGGTGGGTCTAGGCTGGGTACCGGACCCAGCATCACTGTCCTCTGCCCAGTGATGGCTGCGTCGTGAGCCCACACACTGACAGGAGGAGGCCTCCCCTTATTGGCAGGAGGTGGGTCTCCCGGGAAACCGGGCATCAGGAAACGGAGGTCTACCCCCCCACCTCTGTGGACCCGGTCCAGCTCCTACCTTCCCTGGGCCTGCGTCCTAGCTGTAGGGCAGGGATGCTGTGCCAGCCCTTCTCTGCCCAGGCAGTGAGGGCTCAGGTGGGGGATGGGAAGGCTTCTCTGGAAGTCCAGTGGGGCGGGTCCTGTTCCCATCTTTTCCTCTGGGCTGCCCCTCTTCTCTGAGGGGCGGTGCCCGATGACAGTTGGGCTGAAGTTTAGGCTCCGAGCCCCCACCTTCAGCTTTCTGTGTTCCAGGCACACCCTCTGCCCACCCTCACCCCGTTCTCCCTCTCCTTCTCAGAGTGAGACGCGCTTCTAGAAAGCCTACGTCTGGCTCCACCGCACGGCACTGGCTGCTGTAAAGACTGGCCAATGTGACCGGGCCATAGGCACCATCATCTGGGCTAAAGGCCACCAGACACCATCGTTACTGCCACCTCCACTGTCTGCTGCCTCTGTGAATACACATGTGTGTGTGCATGGGCACACGTGTGTGTCACTGCTTTCCCAAGGTCTTCAGAAACCAGGAGAGCTGTCAGCTCTTCTCAAACGCCAGGCTGGAAATCACCTGAAGATAACTGTTTGGACACCGTGGAGGTTCCCACAGGGGTGACCATAATGGATGCGGGAGGTGGAGCCCAGGGAAGGGCCTGGAAGGTCACATCAGGAATTCTTGCTTCTCTGACCCTAACTTGGAGACTAGTCCAGAATGGGCTGCCCCCCACCTCCAGTGGCCCAGCCGTCACTGCTGTCAAGGGCCAGTAATAGGTTTCATGGAGTACCGGGACCATCCCTAGTGGGAAGATATTCCCGCTGACCTTCTGCGTGGCCTCTCCCCTCTCAGCCCTCCTGCCGGGGCCGTGCCGTGGCTGTCCCTGCTGACAGCTCAGGACAGGGCTTGCTGTCCTCGTTTGGTCACAGGCTGTTGGAGGCAAAGTTCATTTCATTTTATTTTTATATTCAAGAAATAGAAGTAGATGTATTTTTAAAAATTCTCCGCAAATCCCAGGAGCAAAAGAATCTAAAAGAAAAAAGAGTGGATATATGTACATGTGTAACTGAATTACTTTGCTGTACACCTGAAACTAACAACATTGTAAATCAACGATTCTCCAATAAAAATTAAAAAAAAAAAAAAAATTCCAGGAGCCAAGAGAGCTAACATCAATCACCTCAGGAACTCAGAGGGACTCCCAGCAGCTGTGCCCCTCTGGAGTCCCACAGAATGCTCCTGCCCTCAAGGGGCCCTTTGAGATACTCAGGGAAGCAAATCCTCACTTGGGCTGGTGGGCAAATCCATCACAAAGAGAACCACAACTGTTGCTGCATCCAAGGGCTGCAGGAACATGAAGGAACCGATGCTGCTTCTGTGTTGGCCCCGGAGCCTGGGAAAATCCAGGTGGATGGGCATCCCTGGTACCCAGGGCTGTCCTGGGACTTTGGAATTTCTTCTCAGGTTTCTCCATCTTTCAGCTTCTCATAGACACAGTGTTGCCATGAAAACTGCCTTGGAGAGAAAGCTGGCTCTGTCCCCAGGCCCTCCAAACAGCTTTTCTGAAGGATCCGAGTTGCCCCTCCTGCAGGGCATCAGTGCGTCTAGTCCCCACACCAGCTGAAGTCCTGGACCTTCCCCATCCTTTTCTCTGGGGCACCCGATCCTCCCGTAATCCCATTCTCCTACCATCTTTGGGCCTGTCTGGTAGTGCTATGACTCCCATCGGCAGGGTCTGAGCAGATCAGCCCAGCCCAGCCCAGGCAGGCGGCTGCTCGGGAGATACACTGTTCTGGAAGAGCAGTTGGACTTGGCTAGCGTTCACTGGGCAGGGTCTGAGGGGGTTGGTGACGTATTATCACAGCTGGGGGTTTTTGGGGGATGGCAACATTCACATCCACAGCACCCCTAGCAGTGGTCTTCAGCAATAAATGTTGCGTGACCTGAAAAATGTGTCACTGGATGTTTTCATGGTACCCTAGGTAGAAAACCGAGATTGTCTACCCAGGTGCCCAGACATCCTCAGTTTTTGTTCTTAGTTTTGGTTCTTCAGTTTGGGGTTCTGCTCATTTAATCATACATTCATTTATTTATTCATTCACCCACCATATGGGTGCCTGCTCTGTACCAGGAACTTGAGCCAGGCCCAGGTGGTACAAAAACCACAATGGTCCCCAGGAAGTCATGGTCGTGACCCAGTGTGATAGAAGCTGTGATTCAGTGTGGACACCGTGCTTGGAACACAGCCAGTAGCTGCACCTAGAGAGGTCAGGGAAGGCTTCACAGATGAGGTGAGATTTGAAATGTCTTAATAGAGTAGGTGAGTCTTCACCAAGCAGCTGGGGTGGGGCCAGAGCAGGCCGGTGCCTGTTCTGTTTCCCTCCTTCCTCTTTCTCTGCCTCTGACTTTGCCAGCTCAACAAAAGGCATGTTTACAAAGAAGCCCCAGTGCTTACTCAACTGTTTCCAAGAGAATTGGATGGGCGGCCCCACTGGCCTCTTCTGAAAGATCTAGCCCTTCTTGCTCTGCACTTACTTTTCCTCCGTTTAATATCAATATATTGACCTCACCCATTATGATCCACGATGAATTCCCAGCACCCTCAACACACACGCATGCCTCTAGCCATGAGCACAGACTTCTCCAGGCCTGCCCCCATGGTCCTGGCCTTTGGACACCCCAAGATTGTTTAATCTGCCCTGTCAACGCCAGGGGAAATCCTTCCTCCAATTATTTTCTCGCTCCGTCTGCACAACAAAGCATGGGGAGGGGGCAGGTGCCAGGCTTACTATATTTAGCAGTAGGGGTAACACAACTGCTGTCACAGATCCCCAAATTTCCCACAATCTCAGTGGCCTGACCCAATCCAAGTTTATTTCTCATCTACCTAACAGTCCAGCGAAGGTGTCTGGCCAATGGGAGGCTTTCTTCCACATGATTTTTCAGGGGCTCAGATTCTTTCAACCTAGTGACTTTGTCATCTGCTTCCAGCCGGTGGACAGAGGAAAGAAAAGATGAAGAAAGCATATCCACTTCTTAAATGCTCTGGCTCAGAAGGGATACATGTCATTTTCACTCATATTTTATGGGTGTCAACATATCACATGGCACCACCTAGATCAAGTGGGAAAGGCACTAAGAAAGTCAGTCCCTGGGCAGTTCCCATGCAAGAGTAAACACCTGTTTTGGAAGATAACCAGCCACCTCTGCCCCCCAGAGGAAGCTGGTCATATCCCAGAAGCCAGGCGTTGGGGCAGGGAGTTAGGGCTTAGGGCATTTCTGTTCATTTTTACTTAGGAACCAGACCCTTTCTCTCCTCTCTTGGCTTCCTAGGGCAGAAATTGATTTGCTGGGGTGCAGAGGTGTGTGTGTCAGGGGGAGGTAAGAGAAAAAGCAGTATCTAGATGGGAAGAGAAAAATATTCCTTAGGCCCAGGACATCTATAGAGGCTATAAAAATCATGGAGGGTGGGCGATGGGATTTCCCACATTGATCCAGAATCTCCAGGGAGATGGGTGTGTGTACTGAGGGGAGGTGTTGCTGGTGACACTGTCCTATGGTCCCTGGGTCCCAGGCATCTCCAGGTTCCAGTCAAACTCTCTGGCTTTGTCAGCTCTGTTGACGGCTGAATTTTCCTGGGGAAAGGGGGAGGGTCAAATGAGTGTGTTGCGGGTGGGACAGGTGATGATGCCTCTTTGGAGAAGGAGCCAGTTACAGCCTTGCTGCCCATCCAGCTGCCTCTGGGGTTTGGTTAGATTCCCAAGACCTATTGTTTTCCATAATTGCTTAGCCGATGTCCTGATGCAATTGGGAGGACATTGAGAGATGCACATGGGGAGAGCTCCTCGTAACGATAATGATGAGGATGATGACAGTAATAGCTAGCCTTTGCTGAACGTTTGCTATGTGCCAGATGCTGTGCTGAACACCTGATGTGTATTATCTTCTGTGAGCATGAAGTAGGCATTGTTATTATCTCTATTTTACAGATGAGGAAACAAGGCCAAGAGAACTGGAATAAGCTTCCCCCAACCTAACAACTACTAAGTGGCAGAGCTGGACTTTGAATCCAGGCTGCCTGATTTTAAAAGCTGCTTTAAAAGTAGGTGGAGGCTTCCTAGCTGCCGCCTCGTGGGGTCTGCCATCTGGCTCTGTGGATCTTTCTGTTGTCCACCAGGCCTGTGCTGTGGGAGGGGCAAGGTGGGACAACCCCCCAGAGGAGGAGGGGCATATCCCTCAGAGTGTCACATGACCAGAACCTGGGACAAATGCATCGTGGATGGGACGAGGCCCCCTGGCACCTTCCCCACCACCCCCAAGTGGATGGTTTCTGGGAGACCCTCCCATGCCATGACCCGCTATGGCCCCAGGGCACCTCCATGTCTCCTCCATGTGGGTGGGTGACTCTGAGAGGTACGTGCCACTCATTCCCTACCTCGTCTGCACTGGCCCAGGCTTCCTGTTCCTTGGAAACTGCCACCCAGCCCAGGGAGAAAGCCCCACGCTGGTCTTATAATGGGCCTACCCAGGGAACACAGAGTGCTGTGCTCGGGAGATAAGCAGCTGGGACGCTCCAGGCAGGAGCCTTTATTGGATGAGTCCTTTGAGAAGGGAGGGGCATGGCTTGGCCTTTGGTCCTTCAAGCTCAGTTCTTGCCAGCGAGACCTGTGGATATAACAAGCTGTCTCCTCTGTCCAAGTCCCAGGTCCCAGAATTTCTTCACTTTTCATACAAAGGAGGGAGCTGGGAGCCTTCTCTGAATAATTCCTCCTAATTACACTATGTTGTAGTGGAGAGAGTCCTGGAGCTGGAATCAAAGCAACCTGGAGGTACAAATTCCAGCTCAGCCGCTTGTTCGGCTCTGTGGTAAGCCAATCTCTGTTTCCTCAAACGTGAGATGGGTGTATCTAGGTCACACGTTGTTGCAGGATTAAGTGGGAGGATGCATGTAAACACACAGGGCAAAGTGACTGGCATATTAGGACCTCTCAACAAATGTTGAGTTTGCAACAAAAGGGCCAGATCCTTCACCTCCGTATCGCTTCACCCAATAAGTGAGATAGGAGAGGGAAATTTGGAAACCTCTCCAGGGCTTAGGAAATTTGCCATTTCTCTCCATAAACTTCCCTCTTAGTCTCATAGCAATGGGCTGATCTTCCATGGAGATGACACTACCATCTGGGGTAGATGGCTGTCCCCTACGGGTGGCTTCTCTAAGTCATGGAGATGCACTGAATTGAGCTCACTCTGCTCTCTCATCACTGATGGGACCAGGATGGATTCCTGTCACTGGCCCTGCTCTGGTGGCATCTGACTGCTCAGCCAAAGGAGCTGACAGTTCAGGGCTGTGAGGGGACACACATCCTTGTTCCCCATGGACTC